AGGCCAATTTAGAATGTTTTAAATAGGCACCATCCCCTTCCTTTTCCAGCTACTAAAGTGAAATGCATTTGGCTCTAGCAAAGGAGGATGGATCGAGAGCAGGCATGTGGGAGAACGTGGCTGGAGCGAGATCGTGCCTCTGGAGCAGCATATCCTAGAGCCAAGATGTTGCCTCCATCCTTCTGTTTCTGTTTGCTCTCTATCTGTCAAGATCCACAAGGCAGAGGTATATGTTAGAGGAGGAGGTAAGGTCAGTGACATGAAACAGCATCCACTGACAAAGACAGCTGGGCCGTATCTATTTGCTTTAACAAAGAGTCACCAAAGGACAAGATTATGTTAAGAACTCTGCTGATAAAGAACCCAAGAACTCAAGGACTAGATGCTCCATTCCTCAGTGACCCAGAGTGGAAAAGAAAGTGGTTAACAGGACAGAGATGTTATACTTCAGGCTGGCTCATCCTGTCCAGTGATGCTTTAGTTCATGTCTCAATATGCATTTGAGGGCGCATCATTGAGAACTCAGTGAAGAGACAGCCGTCGTAGTTGTGTCTTGTCCATATTTGATATGAGCTTTGAGATTCAAGTCATGATTGTCTTCTAACTGCACAGATTAGCTAAAGAAAGAGATATTAACACTGGTTTTAAATTGATGATCAAGATTAAGTTTGGTCACGTGTTGAAAAGTCAGCAGCCAAATTCTGTAAGACATATCCACTCAACTGCATTTGGAGGTGTATTTCCCAGGTTTCCCATAGTTCCTTGCTTTTGTGGTCATTTGGCCACAAGTTGTCCTTGAACTGTGCCTGTCCTTCAATCAATCAATCAATCAAGTGGCTTCCGTTTCCACCTTCCACCAAGTATATAATTGATAATTTACTCTAAGTATTGGGGAAGATTAAAGGGGTTTAGTTTTTGTGAATTTTATTCCTTTTTTAAAAAAGATTTATTTATTTTATTTATATGAGAACATTATTGTACTCTTCAGATACAGCAGAAGAGAACATCCTGTTACATATGGTTGTGAGCCACCATGTGGTTTCTGGGAATTAAACTCAGGACCTCTAGAAGAGCAGCCAGTGCTCTTAACTGCTGAAGCATCTCTCCAGCCCTGAGTTTTATTCTTAGTCAAGTGAAACAGACCTTTTGTGATATAGATGACATTGATCCTTAACCAATCTACTGCTCAATTTTGATAGGTATGTCAAATAAATTTTGCTGTAGGAGAATAGTATTGCCTGTTGTGTGGAACAATGATCTGATCAGCCATGTGTCCCAGTGAGGAGCAGGGGTCATCTTTCTAGACATGTGAGATGTTTCTGGCTCCTGAGATATTTACATTGCGAGGACAGTCATAATGGTGTTTTCTACAGATGAAATCCCCTGACTAAATCCAGTGAGTGTTCATGCTTCTGCACTGTGAACCAGTGATAATTTAGTAGAAGAAGAATGACTGCTGCTTTATTGGTGGGGTGCCAGATATTATAGCTCTTAACAAGATACAGGGATCTCAGAGGCCAGTGCTAGACACAGTGAGTAAAACTAGAGGAAGTAAAAAAGAGGAGAAATTTGCAGGGAAAGTAGCTATTGACTAACCTGTTAACGTGGTGGCTGTGTGCCCCAGGGCATCTATAAATATTGGCATTCAAAGTCTTTCTAGAATCTTTCTAGATGAGTATTTCTGCTTTGATGTGAGCCCAAGCTCAGGAAAGCTGTTTCCTGATGGAAAAAGATCTCTTTATGTGAATGACTGCTGAGCCTGAGAATACTTTATTCTGTGAAAGACTAGAATAATGTGCATGAGTTAAGAGCTTCCCCTTGGCTGCTGGTTTAGGATTTTGGAATCAAGTGAGTAGGCAGGGAGGAGAAGCAGGGCTTAACTTATATTGATACCCCCCTAAAGTAAACTGGTACCCACACTTCTAAGAGGCTGCCATTGTAAGAAGAGAAGCTGCTACAACTATGGAGCTATCCTACCATGGGGCCCTCATGGTTACAAAGAGAGAATAAGCTTCAGAACCACATAAGACTTGGGTTCTGATTTTAGCCCCACCACCTATAAACTGTGAAACATTGGCCTGGAGAGGATAATGTCCTCTCTGGATGCTATTCCTGTTTGTTAATGTAAGCATAACTCAGGGTAGTTATTTTGAGTATTTCATATTATATGCATTTCATAGATGTAGGACACACACAAAAATCAAGGACAGCAAATGCTTGTTATATCAGTGAATGGAAAAGAGAACTGGAATCCCATTGAGAATGAGAATTCTCCCTCTAGGGACTATGAAGTGGTCCTATGGACATGGTGTTAGCGATTTAATCTCTTAGGAAATGTAGTATGAAGAACATTAGCTCCGAGGTCATTTTCCCCTCTACCTTTTACTAGCTAGGAACACTGGGCATGTCACTTGATTCCTTAAACTCGGTTTCTTTGTCTTTGAATGGATATAACAACATGGGTAGTCTGTGGTGCTGTGGTGAATATTAACTAAAATAATGAATGTCACACAGAAAGTGCTCAGTGTTAAGCCACCCTTGTGAGTTTCTTCACGGTGAGTTAGCCATAACCACTTTGTACTCAAGGGGTAGGGATTGGGGGGCTTGGTATAAAATAAGACTATCTCATGCTATCTAGAATTTTCTTTTATACTTGAGCACATTATATAACACCTTCCATGAATTTCAGTTAGTTATTGTTTACATACATACATACATACACATATATATACATATTATATATATGTCATATTATTATATGTCATATATATATATATACATACATATATATATATTTTTTTTCTTTGACATGCAATAGTAAACAAACTTGTACAAATTAAAGATCTGAACCCAAATAGACAGACCTATAATCCTATCACTTAGGGGGCACATACAAAAGGTTTAGTAGCTCAAGGCCATTCTTGGCCCAGAGCAGATTCCAGTATAGCCTCAGCTACGTAACACCCTGTCTGAAAAGACAGACAAGCAAGGAACTGAAATAGAAGTGGGAATTGACTATGATAGATTATCGTCTTTGGATATTGATAGAAGAAGAGAAATACTAGTCTCTCGAAGAATCGCATGTTTAAAATAGACACCTCAGTAATTTACTTATCTCACATAAAAGCACAGTATCCCCTGAAGGGAATACTAGTCAACCCAGTGTAGAATGGGTTTTCAGTTCCGTAGTTTGCATCATTAAAATTTTAGTAACATTAATAGAGATAAAGATGGAAAAGGTGAACTGAGCATGAAAATAATAATAATAATGTGACAACATGGCTTGTAATTGTAGAGTAACAGAATTACAGAATAAAGGAGTAACAGGGTGAGCCCAGGTAGCCACACTTTTCATTTTCAATTTGAGCACTTTTGAATGCTAGTCAAGCTAGTGTGAGTGACACTTAGGGAGAGAAAAAAATTCCCCCTTGAATGTCTTTAAAATCTGTAATAATAATATAATAGTATAAAGTGCATCTGGGCATCACCTTCTGCTGCAGTTCTTGTCTGGCTTTTGTCCAAAGCTGTCAGGCTACTCTTGAGAGCTGATGATTCATAGCCCAGCACCTTTTATCTGAACATTGCCATGTCTTTTCTTTGTACTTTAGCAGTGATGTTACCTTGATGTTCAAAAATCTTTTAAAAGCAACAGTCTTTCCTTTCTTGACAAATCATTGTCTGTGAGTAATGAAGAAGAGGTAAACTCATGAGCATTCTAAACACAAAGAAACACACATGGGTCTCTTTGCAAGAAGTGGTCCACAAGAGAGGATTCTCAGTGAAATGTGGATGCTCTGATGAAACCTCAAGATGTTTTTCCTGTGCCTCCTTCTCTGAGACTTGAGGGGCCTTGGGAGATAAGCAGGGTGGATTCTCATTGTTATCCTATCTTACGTGTAGGGAAACTGAGGCTCTGGATGATTTAATGACTTCACCAGATTGGATTCTTAAAACTATTTCTTCTCACTCAACGAGTAGCGCCATCCTTTTCCTTTCTAAACAATGTTGTCTCTCCAAAGGAAATCTTTGTCAGAGAGTATTTAGCATTGAGAGGAAAAGTGGTCTATTTCTCCCAGGCCGGACATTAGTTCCTAGGTGCTGAAAGTCTCATGTGTGGGTCCTCCATTTTAAAAACTCATTGGGAAACTGGAGGGCGTTGGAGGATCCTGGAATGAGGAGTCTGGGAATCATCCCAGAGATAACCAAAGGAATGAACGAGTTTCACGTGTGGGGAAAAGGAAAGGAAAACACAGAAACTGCTGACATCTCTGAATGTTTTATAGACTACCTTGCAGAAGAGGAATTAGATTTGCCCTTTGTAACTCCAGGAACAGAAGTCGGAACAGTGGGTAGAAATTACACAGAAGCAGATTTATGCTCAATATAGGAAGAAAGTTTCTAACATTTAGAGATGTCCAAAAATGGAATTGACCCGCTCATCATCACTGGGAAGTGTTCATGTGAGACTGACTGTCCAGCGTGAAGATTATGGCACTTTATGAGTGCTGTATTTCAGCAGGAACATGGTTTTATGGGGAACCTTTCTGAGGGCTTAGGGAAGAATTTCCTCACAAGCTAAAAACAAAAGTTCTTTCTTTTTTGTACACTTTCCTGCCATGACTTTAGACTGAGAAAGATTTACCCATATGATTCTTCTCACTTCAGTTTGTCCTGTGAAATAACTTTCAGCTGTTTGGGGGAAGTTATTAATTAAAACAGAGAAGCCATCATTTTATAAAATTAAACTGAAGTGGGCATTTGGTGGTACTTGCAGGGCTGGTGTGTGTGTGTGTGTGTGTGTGTGTGTGTGTGTGTGTGTGTGTGTATGTATGTATTATGTTTAAAACATTTCAAATCAGGCTATAATTCATAAGTGTTCAGTGAAGACTTTTCATATTTAATGTTTTATCTTCAGAGTTATTGAAGGATACAACTGTTGATTCCAAGCAGAAATACCTCCCTGTATGAATTACAGTATTCTTTCCTTCTGTTTCCAACAGATTCCAGAGGGGTGACTACCACATTGATGTCTGTATCAATGACTACCTGGATGTTTTCTGCCCTCACTATGAGGACTCTGTCCCAGAAGATAAGACTGAGCGCTATATCCTGTACATGGTGAATTTTGATGGCTACAGTGCCTGCGACCACACGTCCAAAGGGTTCAAGAGATGGGAATGTAACCGGCCTCACTCTCCAAATGGACCGCTGAAGTTCTCGGAAAAATTCCAGCTCTTCACTCCCTTTTCTTTAGGATTTGAATTCAGGCCAGGCCGAGAGTATTTCTACATCTGTGAGTACATGGAGATTTATTATTTTGTGGGGCAGCTGCAGAACTCTGACTGATTTCTTTTTTTAACCTGTGTTTTGGAGAACTGCAGAGCGGGACTCTGTGTTACAGATGTCTCCTAAGAACGCATACATCATGATCCCCAGATACATTAGCTGGGAATTGAGAGCCCAAATTAGATTAAAGCCACGGCACCTCTTTCTCTACGAAATCCCATGTCAGCCTGTGCAGTGAACCACTGCTGACATGTATTTCTTTTAAATGAAAATTGCCAGGATTTAAAAACAACAACAACAACAACAACAACAACAACAACAACCAAAACCAACCTTGGGGAAAGGAAAAAAGATTCCTGAAAAAAAATTGAAGGAAATAATTAAATTTACATAACATGGAGTTGTTGCATTTTTTATTCAGGTATCAGCAGCATCCTTTCAGTCAGGCACAGTTTTAGTGGAGAAAGGCACAGCTCCTGCAGATGTCAGCATGCTGACGATAAATACTTGCTTTGCACCAAGGAGAGAAGACAATTATAAGGAGCAGCTGTGTCTGTAGACAGGCAAGTGTGAAGAAGTATCTAGGAAGAGTTCCAGGGGAACTCACCTGTGAGCATTGTGTGACTGTCCCGAGAGCTCTCTCTGAGTAGTCTCAGTGGACTGGCATTAACCACAGCGCCACGGCCTGATTTATTCTCCATCCCAAGCAGCCTTACTTTTTCAGGTGTCACACTGGCATGGATTAGTCCTAAATGCTTCTCAGACTTCACTATGTGTGAGACACCTGGGGGTCTGGTTGTCATACAGATGTCAGCTGGAGAGCTGAGGTGGGACCTCAGATTAAGCATGGATAAACTTCCCAGGAAGTGCTCATGTCGCTGCCCCATGGACCACACATTGAGGAACAGAGTTCTAGATGATAGTAAGTGTAGGCCTCATGGCCCATGGTAGGCCTACAGTAGGCATAGCTGGACCTTTTATATATATATCAAATACATAGATAGCCTAGCCTTTCCCATATAGTTCATATGACATGAAAACTTGTTTGTTCAGGATACATTTACGGAAGAGCACACATTGGCTCTGGAGTGCTGTGTGTGTGTGTGAGATGGAGACACTTCCTGTTTTTAGTAAAGGACAGACTTGTAAAGAGGCAATTCAGATAAGGACAGTTACTGAGTAAAGCAAGGGCCAGTGGGGACTCAGGAAGATCTGAGGTTCCTGCTTCAGGAATCAGGAAGTGCTGTTGCTCCGGCTGTGTGTGAGGAAATCCACCTGATACCACTCTAAATGCCTGGCATCCTTTTACATCAGCTTGGCAGACAAACAAGACAGAGAACATTCCTGTTTCTCTGATTCAGTTCTTCCACTCAAATGTCTCCACCCACATGGTGGTTCAGATCCACTGAGATTTCTAGTTCCTCTCCGTCTTCAGAAAACAGAATTTTATAACAAGTCAGATTTCCCTGTCGCCATATCGTCATGGCGCTCTCTCACTCATATTAGAGTTGAATTTAAAAAAGGAAATTGAACAGTACCAGTTTTATTATTTTGGTACATACTTCAGTTGTTAGTCATGAGAAAACATGTGAAAGAAAGCCTCGATATCATCTCGCATTAAGTCCATAAAAATAAGAGGAGGAAAATTGAGTCTCGCCGTTGCAGGAAACACTGGCATCCACTGACCCCTGATTTTCCCAGGCACTGTGCTCACAGCCTCTCTGAGGTCTCCCTTTCTGAAAGAATCCTATTGAGCAAAGGATGGAAAGGAGCGAGAAGGCATTCCATGGTAGAGCAGCATTAATTTCACTAATTCTCGCACTGCAAGATGCTGTGCTATAAGGGGAAATTATTTTCAGAACCGATATCTTCTTATTGACTTTTTGGACTTAAAAACCAACAAAAGCAGAAGCCGAAAATAAAGAAAGAACATCAAGATGGGAAATGCTCTCTGGCTAACTGGCTGATTGCATGATTATTAGAAGTTTTAGAATCCATTGAGGTTCGTAAGCAAGGTGGTATTCACAGATACTGTATGCTTATGACTAGGTTCTCATTTGTGGTTAAATTCAATATTTCACTAAAAATCATTATGTGTCTTCTATAACATTCATTTAATGGAGTCATTTAACTGTCAAGGGCTCCTGTCAAAGCAATTGTTCCAAAATATCAAGAGCTTTTTGCTGTTCAGCTGAATTTAACTTAAATTACTTTTTTTTTTTAATGAAAAGTAAAATAGCACACAATTAAGCAGCGAGGCAGTTCATTTACGAGAAGCACAGTGGCCTGCTGTTCAACTGAATGGAATTTTCAGCCATGTTTTCAGCCCACAATAGCATCCCTCCTTGTCTACCCCATGGTGAAAGCCGTCCCTGTCCCTCTCTGCTGAGACCAGTGTCGGAGCTATGGTGATGTTATCTCTTAGTACATTTCATGGGCTCTGCTCATAGTTAAAGCCCAGGACTCTTGTGGGAGAATTGGCCCTCGGTTAAATCATCTTTCTCCTGAGATGTGTGGGAAGAGCAGAGTGATTGGGAAATGGCGATTTTTTTCACACTTTTTAACACCCGTCTCAGAAACAAGCTGAACGACCCAACAGTTGAAATTATAGAAAGCTGTTATGAGGACAAGGGACCGAGTCTCACAGTACCTCACCTCACTTCTGCAGAACCAGGAACAGGAAGACTCACAGCCTAGTGTCTGTTTCCTTTTAAGTTTCTGCTCTGCTGTGAGGTAGGGTGCCAGAAGTCAGCTAGAAACAGATTTGATGGGGAGGAAAGGCAGGCATTTCATAGCACAGGTACCTAGACTCAGACAGGACACAAACCAGAGAGTTCTTAGCAATATTCTCTTCATCTAGACAAGGCTTTTTTTCCCCTTATAATTTCTTTGCACTTGTGTGAAGTGTCCAACTTACCTTCGAGACAAAGTATCCTTAGCTGTTCCAGCTCCTTTATTCATCCTAAGTGAGTGGTTCTCTGTTCCTGGTGATCTTTCACTTGCGAACAGGCTTGCAGACTGGAATTGTAATGCATTTGGAGCACTCCTGAATCTGACTAGCAGTTTTTAATCCATGGTAGTTAACCTAAGAGCTTGACATCCTAAAGTGGTGTTTATGTCATTAGTAATACATTCTTTAACTGAGAGTCAGCTGACTGAGGTTAAGGTCATTTATATAGACTTCATACCAGGAATGGCCAACCCTCTGCCTATAGCCTGAATATGTCCTATGACATCAGTGGCTATAAATATGGTCCTACATATTAGTAAACCATAGCTTTGAATCTGAATGTCGAAAGGATACATTTTTAATATGGAATTAGAAGTTTTAGAAATTAAAAATACTTTAAAGATATTTCTCACAAATATTAACCTATAGAGAAACGTTTAGACGAACTTTTTCTGCCCTCATAGCTAAATGAGAAGAGATAAAAGAAATCACTAAAATAAGAACATTAAGTTATTTTTTTAATTCCATAGGGATAGTGCTTTGAAGGCATCCTTTTACTGAGCTAGGCAAAACCCCGTGATTACCTGGCCCTTCAGTTGCTGTAATGAGCTATTTGAACTTGAGTGAATCATCTAATATCCTTGAGTTCCAAGTCTACATCTGTAGAATAGTGTGGCTGAAACGAATGATTGCAGAAATCACTTAGAACTTTAATATCCTCATGTTATTCATTTTTATCTGAGATCTGCCGCTTCAGCTCAGAGATAATGTCTGCGAGATGCTCAATGCTGGTGCCTAGTAGGTATCAATAAGCATCGCCCAAGGGGAGATGGGAGAACATGCAGAGTGGAGGGCCGTGTTTTGATCCTGCTCTGTGTCACTGCTGTCTCTGTTCCTCTAGTGTGGCAGACTCCTTGTGAGTCGCCAGCTCCCAGCACTGCTGCCCCCAACCCTATCACATCTGGGCTTGCCAGCTGGAGCTTCATGGCTGTGTGCTTCCTTTTCCCACATCCATCCTCTCCGATCTCCCTGCTGCAGCCTAGCTGTCCTCCATCCTAGTCCGAGTGGCTAGGCAGCACACTCCAGTGCTGGGGTTCTGGCACTTCCATGTCTCCTCTCCTCATATATATTCTCTGTTCTCACTTCTTTTAGAGATGTGTTGAGAAATGTCTTTATCAGAAAGTCGAAATAAAAAATATAAAAGTAACACTTTCTTTACCATTCTCTACCTTCTTAACTGTCTTGTGCAGTTATTTTCCTCAGGCACTCATCACTCCTGACATTAAATATTTTTGATTTATTGTTCATAGCTGTTTCTGCCCCATGGCGTGTATTATTTTGTTTGTCAAAGAGAACATGTTCAATAACTAGGAGCAAATAGTGCTTACAGAGCATATATTCTGTTCTAAAGGCTGTTCTGGGGGACTTTGTCATTAAAATGATTCTGTAACATAGTGTTCTTTGCCCTCCACCTGTGTGTGTGTGTGTGTGTGTGTGTGTGTGTGTGTGTGTGCCTATCTGTGTGTGCATTATGAGTACATGAGTACATGTGTGTGGTATGTGTACATTGTGTGTGCATGTTTGTGTTTGTGTGTGGTGTGTACATGCATGAGTAAATGTGTGTGTGTTGTATGTGTGCATGTGCGTGTGCGTGTGTGTGTGTTGTGTATAAAAACTGAGATAAAAGTCAGGTAATTTGAAAAAGGTCCATGTAGGTGCAAAGTAACTAATGGAACAGAATTTGGCCACTGGAAGAAATGAAAAGATAAAATTTAAGGCCTCATGTACTTCAAAAGGAAGAGTATATGTTTCTATTTTTAAAAGGTTAGAAATGGGCTCTGGAGATGACTCAGTAGATAAAGTACTTGCCAGACAACTGTGAGGACTTGTGTTTGGATCCTCAGAACCCATGTGAGTGTTGGGCTGGTGTGGTGGCTTGGCCTGCCATCTCAGCACACAGAGAGCTTAGACATTTATGCATCTTAAGCCCAGCAAAGGATGCTTTCCCATCTCTAGATGATAGTGCATTAGCTCTGTCACTCTAGGTCACTTCTAAA